GCGGCGAAATCGGCAGGAGAACTCGCGGCAGCAGCATCGACCGTCTGATGCTGGGCGGGGGTCGGGGGCGGGATGGGCGTGGGCGACTGAACGGTGGAAAGTGGCGGGCCAGTCGCTGATGGTTCTTGCGGCTGGCGCGAGCGTGTGTAGTAATGGTGACTGCCTCGTGTATGATTGCGTTGGAGTGTATGTCGTGACGGATCCATGACGGAATCAAACACGATACTCAGCTGCTTTCACGAATGTACGGCTCGGGTCTGTCACTGTCTCACACACGCTACGTTTCCATCCCATTTTCCTTCACTCACCCAATCCCAACACAGATAAGTACTCCGGTCGAACTATCGATCGAGACTAGCCACTGATGCGAATACACAAATATCCATTCAATGCGAGTAGAGAGATAAGGAGAGGCAGTCGGCACAGGCGCACAAATAAGCGCCGTTTTCTGCTCGACGTATAAACACTGCGAGTACCCACTACACGATCCCTTCCGACCACACGAAGCACAAAATAGCCTCGCCTCACTCACAACGCCCGGTCGCTCGGTCGCTCACACGCACTTGCTCACTCGCACGAGTCGGTCAATCAGTCAATCGGCCAATGGTCAGTCGGTCACTCACTCAGTCGGTCAATCGGCCAATGATCAGTCGGTCACTCACTCAGCGATACAACACTGCCACTACAACCGAGTGGCACGTCCACTCACCAGAACGAATTACACGACCCACGTGCCCTTGCCTGACTGGTTAAACACGTCCTTCCCACCCTTCCCAATTCCTTTCGTCACCCTTCGGCCTCTACTTGAGGGCGTACGTAGCTCTGTCGTTGACGAAGACACCCACGAAGTACTGGCCGGGCGGGGCGGCTTCGCTGGCGGCATTATACTCCTCTACAGTGCGGGCCGGTCTGGTGTAGACGATGGTGTCAGTGTGGGGTGGGGTGGTGTTGTGGCTCGGGAGTGGGATAGTGTTGTGGTCCGGGTAGCCTGTTTGGTTGGGGTAGGTGTAGGCGTTGGCGTTGGTGTTGGTGGTGGGGGTGGTGTAAGGGGCGGCTGCTGCACCACGCCCTGCACGGCCTGCTGCTGCTCCTGGGGCGGCTCCTGGTACTGCTGCTGTTCCTGGGGCTGCTGCTGCACGAACTCCTGGGGCGGCTGCTGCACGGGCGCCTGCTGGTACTGCTGCTGCTGCTGGGTGGCCGGGTTGGACGTCAGCGACACCGACGAGTTGGACGAGGTTGCGACGGCAGGGGTGCTGCTGCGGGATCCGTACGGCTCGAAACGGTCGTATTGGGGTCGGCGTCTCACCGGCTCAAACCCACCCACCGGCTTGAAGGTGTTCCTCTCCCGCGGCACGCCGTACTTCCTCTCGATGTCACGCCCGATGTCGCACGAGAATCTCTCGCCTTGATAATACCAGTGCTCGACGTCGCTGCGCAGATCGGAGTTGGCGGGCTCTCCGAGGTAGTCGAAGAGCGCGTCGAGCGCGTGCTTGGCCTTGCAGTTCCTCTCGCGGAGGTTGCAGACGGCGTCACCGACGGCCCAATCGGTGCTGTCGCGGGGCACGTCGAGCGAGTTGAGCCAGTCGTGCGCGAAGTCTCGCGGGAGTCCCTTCCTGTTGTGGCTGTCGAAAAAACGCCTCAGCCGCTCACTCACTGAAGAACACAAAAACCAGAACGGACACAGACGGTTGCACGTGAAGAGGCGATCAGCTCGGTGTGCGTCGTCTCGGTACTGGCGGTGGTGTGTCTATCGGTGGTCGGTGCGTCGGTCTCATCGGTAGTCGGCGCGTCTGTCGGTGGCGGTGAGTGTGTCTGTCGGTCACGGATTCGTCAGAGTACGCCCGCTATCGGTCGTTCGGCAGCGTCGCGTTACGATTCCGGCACTGGTGGGTATACGGGGGCGCTGACGGTCTCGGACAGAATATACTATCGCCCTGACGTCCAAACAGATGGCAGATACACAAAACAGGCCTGTGTGTGCGCAGGTCTGTCGGTTAGT